CTCTCAAAATAAACTGTTTCTTCAAATATAAAAATGCTTTCCTCAAAATATTTTAGAGGAATAAAGAAAAATATGAGGAAATAAAGATAGCCTGTGATTCTTTATCTAGGCATAACCATTTTGTTAATTTTTTGACTTATAAACTTTTATAGTGTATATTTGAATATCAGAAAGGTGATCAACTATAACACCATCGCTTTTCATTTATTAACAAATATATCATGAGACTCTCTCACCACTAACAGGTGCATTTGTACATCATTTTAAATGACCACACTATTCCATTATTGGCCTGTTGCACAATTTTTAAATTGGCTATAAGAATGTTTCCAATTTATCCCTATTGAAGACAATGTTGTGATGACTATAGCTGAAAACACATCTTGGTGCACAAGCCTCACCATATTCTTAAGAAACTTGTTTAGAAGTGAAATTTCTGAGTCAAAGAGTAAGCACATTTTAAAATCAGAATAATATTATCCAATCGTGTTTCAAACAATGACGTTTAATAGAAGAGAGTATCTCTGCCCTGTCTCCATTCATTTTTCATAGAGTAAACAAACCTTGATTCATGCTTCCAATGTGCCGGGGTGTACAATGTACTTGATGCTGGAGATACAGGAGGAAGACTAAATCATGGTTCCAGCCAACTCCTTCCAGAGCTCACAGTTTGGTAAGAGAATATACATGTAATTTAAATGTAACATTATAAATGACAGAGTTTTAGTACACCTATATAGTTGATTAAAAAGGATAAATAACATTTATTAAATGTGTTATGTACTTTCACATTTGTTACCTCATTTAGTGGCACTAAGCATCATAAGAGATGGGTCTTATTATCTTTATTATACATAAGAAAACAAATCTAAGACTCCCAGAATTTAAGTAACATTTATGGGTTTGGCTGCTCTAGTCTCAGCTCAGTAACCATCTAGCTTTGTGACCTTGAACAAATTAAGTTCTCTAAGACTCAGTTTCCTCCTCTGCATAACGAGGATAAAATGAACTTCAGGATTTCAATAAGGAGGACTGAATTAAATGAGGAATTCTATAATATGAAGCATTCAGTGCAGTGCTTGGTACATAGTAAGTTCTCAATAGATATTATTACCACTAACACCACCACCATCTCTACTAAATATACCACCACAAAAGAGAAAGATTATTCTTTTTTCATATTTCATTTCATAGTCAGAAATATTTTCTTCAACGTTCTACTAAATTTCTTCAATGCCCGTCAGGAACATCTGGCAATGTAAATATCTCTCCTGGAAGCAAAGAAATTGCAACATCTCTAATTTTTTTTCCAGTTTACTATTTACTGATTCTTTAGTTATTTTTACAAAAATGCCACTATTTCTTAAAGCTGTATCACAGTCCTGCACTTGGCTTTGAGTATCTAAAGAAGTTACTATAAATTGAGTTCCTAATGCACTCTAAAATACATTTTTAAAGTGTTCCAGCAAAATGAGCGATTAGCACACATGTTATTATCTAGGGGCAGGAAGAACAAACTGTGTTCAGCGGAATCAAGTAAATTACTGGTGTAGAGTTCTGAAGTAAATAAACATCTTTTAACTACTTCAATTTTAGCACGTCTCATTTATGTAAATATATAAAAAGTCTTAAGAGATGTATTCTGAGCCTCTCAAGTAATTTATTAAACCAAATCATTTTTTCTATTAATTGTTCCAGAAATTGCTTATGGTCCACAGCACAGCTGGCACTTGGTACTCTTGTTTTAACTTTGATAATGTTTCTAAATATAAATAAGTGTGCCATTTTTTTGGCCTTTTTTTGCTAGTTAAACAGAAAGATTGGATTGAGAGAGACAGAGGGAGAGAAGTTTAACTTGTATTTACACTGTCATTATTCAGATTAATCAGCTAAAATGTTCTATTTGAGTTTTGGAGTGCAGATAATATAGCCCTCCAAGTGAAACCATCTCAGTCATTAAAAAAAAAAAAAGCAATATAAAGATGTAAGATGTTTCTCATTAAACATGTAAAGATGCAGAACAATCATCTGCCCAAAAATGCTCATCAGTGATGAATCTAATAAACATGAATACTAACACCTTGAAAATTTAGCACTCTAGCCATCGAATTGCCTTACCTGTTACCCTTTAACCCTTTGTCTACTTAACCTAAAGTTAGCTCCATGGCATGTTTCTGTGGTAGGGTTTTTGTTCCAAATTCCAATGTGAGATTGCTTTTGTTAGCAATGATTTGAAGACTCTGTGGATCATTAAGCCTTAATTATCACTATAGCAAAGAAATTCACTTCAATCGTCACAACAAAGGGTTATCCTCAATGCAGTATTACAGTAGTCCCTCCCTATCCTAGGAGGATAAGTTCTAAAATGCCCAGTGGATGACTGAAACCACAGCTTGTATATATTATGTTTTCTCAATCTGATAACCAAGACTAAGTGACTAATGAACGGGTAGCCTTTACAGCCTGGATATGCTAGACAAAGGGATGATTCATGTCCTGGGCTACACAAAATGGGATGGCAAGAGATTTCATTATGTTATTCAGAACGGTGAACAATTTAAAATTATGAATTATTTCTTTCTGGAATTTTCCATTTAATATTTTTGAACCACAGTTGACCGTGGGAAAACAAAACCATGGATAAGGGGAAATTATTGTATTATATTAAGAATTTGTGGGGTGCCATAAAAATGAAAGAAAGATTCTACTTCATTAAGAAATACATAGGAATGACTTGCAATTAATGTACTTTAAGAAATAAAAAATAATAAGGTTTGTATGTGTTGTCATAATCATTATTAGCATGGATATTGGATTTTTAAAGCTATTTATAAGTTCAGGTTGCAAAACAGCAATACAAAGCCACTTCTAAACATGAATGATACTCACATTTCTTTTTTCCATGTGAAGTACACTTTCAAAAGCCTCTTTGGCCAGAAGAGAACCATATTATCCAATTGTAGTAAGCATTCTTTTCTTAGAAATGAAACATCAACCTTGCAATTGCAGTATCAATAAATTTACTGTTGCATGTAGTTTGAAGGACAGAGAGCTCTAGCTCAGTGGGGGGAAAAATTTATTTTCTCTAAGTGTCATATACTCCTGAAGTGACTTCAAAGTCAGACCCATTCCCAGTCCTGTAAGACGTAAAATGAAGTACTCACAGTCAAGTGGCTTTTCAAGTGGGTTATTTATTTCCATCTGTCTTATATTTATGGGAGGGTCGAGTGCAAGATCTAAGTCTGCCTGAGAGAGAGAGAGAGATAAAAATATATACTGTACTCTGAAGAAAATAGCTAAATTTAAATAAGAAAATAAGATTGAACATTTGTAAACCTAACCAAAAACCTAGGGGGAATGTCTATAGTTCATAATTCAGGCAGTTTTGTGTGCAGATTTTACTTTGCAAACATGAAAATTTGACAATACTCATATTGTTATATACAGCATAGTGAGAAATGATAGTTTATGGAAACAAAAATGATATCTGTGTGTATATTTCCTAAGAAATACATCAAAGTACAGTTTTATCTACCTAATTTTATTTTCTTTGTTCCAATAAAACTAAGTTTCAGTTTCCCATGTTCTCCTTCAGTGCACACTGTCCACTTTCAGCACTGTCATTTAACTTTCCTATAAAACTCCAATCTTCATTGAAGTTCATACCAATAATTAAACAGATAAATAAATATTTCGGTATAGTTATATTTTGGATAGAGGTTCTTGACTCATCACCACACATGAAACCTAACATAATTTATGTCCGTAGAACCTTTTTAATTAGTGAGTGATTTATTTCCCTAATGTAAACACTGTTGTTTATTCAGATTCTTATAAAATATTTAACAAGTTACTCTGATGTCCTTAGGTAAAAATAAATTAACTTAGAAAATGAGACCAGCCTAATTAAATCAGGTGCTAGGTAGCTTTCTACCTGTCCATAATTATAGATGAAAACAATATCTTATACTAAAAAGAAAATACATATGGCATTAATTACACTTTGGGGGTGATTAATGTTAAAGAATGGGATGTGTTTAGAATCAAAAGATTTACCCCTTCTGATTTAGGAATAATTGCTAAGGGCATGAAATACAGTTTTAGGGGATCAGAATTTGCTGATTAGGAACTCTCAGCTTTCTCCTAGCTAGAACCTATATTAAACAGTCTTTATTCTTAGCAGCTTTTACTTTCTAATTTAAGTGGTCTTCACCAGTATTCACCTGGAACAAATTCCATGTGATCTTTTCAAATATAAAACCTGTTGCAAAGTTGATTTTAAAAGTTGTTAACTCCAAATCTTAATGGCTTAGTACAACAAAAAGATATCTTCTTGCATATAATATATGTCTTATTTGGGTCAGTGAAAATTTCTCCTCTTCATGGTATTTTCTAGGACTTGGGCTGAGGAAGACTTTGCTGGAATCTTACATACACAAGGCTTCAGCATTTGCCATAACAAGGGAAGTGGGTAGAGACCTCACAGCTGTTCTTAGGAGAAGCACTGTATTTTCTGTTCACAGTTCACTGGCAAATTATGTCTCTGACATACTTCAGGGAATGTTGGACATTTTTCAAAAAAAGGAGAAGAATTAATTATGGTAAAGATTAGTAATCTCCCATCTCCTATTCACTAAGTATTCAGTTCACCTTTCTTCTTACAACACATACTCAACACTTCCACATGGGCGACGACCTGAAGCCCATTTAATCAATGCGTGAATCTCAAAAGTCAGAGCATCTAGGTGAAATTCAATAATTCTTGCCAAGCCCAGATGTTGTTTCTGTTGGTCCAGAGACCTATGAACTGAAAAGCCAAATTATCTACCCGTAGGAACATGCACACACACACACACTCTCTCTCTCAATAAGTGAAGGCATGAAAGAGACAGGATAATTACCATACTGCTTGCTTTTAGAAAGGAGAAGAATGAGGCATACACCTCAGCCCATTTAAATCCTGATGTCTTTGCTGAGCACACACAGTGGAGTCTCCCTACCTGGATGTGACTGCTGTTTCCACCCTAGGACAGGTCTTTTTCCATTCCCTTCTTTGACCATGTCTGAAAATAAGTCTCCTCAAGACTGCATAGCTTTGTCAGCCTTCTTCTCGCTCACACAAGCTTGTGTGCACAAAGGACATTTTCAGCCTCAGACAGTCAAAGGTTTCTTTAGTCCGGGCTTGTGGGCTTTTGGCAGTACATTCTCACAAATACTCAAGAGGCTTCTTCTCTATTTGTCTCCAGTCATTTCAACATGCCAGTGACCACACCCACATTTTAAATACCTAGTTCTTAAATCTCCTAGAGCTCTTTGTTTTCTCAACCCTGTGTCATTTTCTCTCAATTTAATGGGGCTACCTTAAGCTTATAACAGGTGGGAAGGCCTCACTTTTAAAACTTTCTCTGCCTTAAGGACTTTAGTTATCTTAAAGTCTTTAATCAACTTTAGTCAAGCAAAAGGTTTTATTGAATTTTTATTACTTAAAATTCCCTTGCTTACAGTATGGGGTCTAGAAGCAGTTGTGGGTTTTTTTCCAGTACTGTAGGAATTCATATTTCTAGATCCTCTTTATTACTTCTAATTTCTGCTTGTAAACAAGTCAATTTTTTCCTGAATTCATTTTTCTTTTTGTAACACTTGCCAAACATAGCCGATATCAGTTAACATCTACTACTATGGTTCTATTTCCCCCACTTACCCAGAAGCTAAAAGCTACCTAGGCCTATGGTCTGCCTTCCAAGTTCTGACCATAATAGTTTCACCAAATGTTTTACTGCTACATAACATGAATTTTTTTTTTTTAGGTCTACTTCAAGATCAAATATCTTGCTGCCTCCCAAGTACATATAAAGTTTTTTATTATGGTAGAACCCAATTTCTAAAATTAATTTTTATGTAAGAATAGAAAAAGTTATACTGTGGTAACAAATTAACCACAGAATCTCAGTGGCTTATGACAGCACAGGTTAACTTCTTGGTCACATGAAATATACAACTTATGAGGGAGCTCCCCTCCATGTAGTCATTCAGGAAACCAAGCTGTTGGTTGTCCCAATGAGGGCTGGAATCTCCACTGGTAGCTCCTGAGGTGGCCAGATCAGGAGGAACTTACAATCACACTTCAATTCCTCAACCTGAAGTGACACATGGCACTTACTCTGATAGCCTTAGCCCACAATTAGATACGTGGCCCTGCCCTAGTGGCAAGGGAAGCTGTATAGTATTTACATGTTCCCAGGAAGGAGAGGAAAACAGATTATCATGAGGACTAGTGATTTCCATCTTCTTACATTTATAATGTTCAGAAAGTCACAGAAACATAGATAAGTCACAGTAACATTATTCAATCACCACCACAGTGGAGAAACATTTGTCAAACAAAGTACTGGATCACATTATAACAATAAATGGGAAGAAGAAGTTTGATCCATTTTTTTAATCATGAAAATAACTAGGTGACTAATAATGTATTAAAGAAAGCTATAGAACAATCTAATTGGCTCTTAATTTTAAAAAAATTCCCTCAGAACTGATGATACCACATGGAAATGAGACTATTCAACAAAAACAAAGTTATCAGCATTAAATATTACAGTAAGTGGGGCAGGAAAAATGAAAGAAAAAAGATGATTAAAAGGGAAAAAGAAAGAATAAAACCATATGAAACATTCAGAAAAGATTCAATGTTATAAAACATAAGGTATTATTTATAACAAAGAAAAGTTATAATTCCCTGAGAGGAATTATCTTACAACTTCAAAGATTTATCATAGCAAGGACATTTAGGGTTCAGTATAAATAGAAGGGTCCTAAAAGATGCTCAAAAAATATTCCTTAACATCTAGGTCAAGATCAAGATTGTAAGCATTTTGGCAATAAAGTGATGAGCCAGATATTCTATTGGCACCCTCCAATAATGCTAAAAACGATGGTGGCAGCCCTTCTGAGTTTTTGGACACTACTCATTATTCCAGCACCCAAGTTTAAAAGAAGAGGGAATAGGACTCTCTTAGAGATGAAAAACCACTGGGGCCTTATTAGACAAGCAAAACACTTGAAATAAAATATTTACAAGAAATATTTCAAACCATGGTTAAAATTCATACGACATAAATAGATCATTCAAATCATAAGAAGATTTTTTTTTAAGTAGCCCTCTAATGCAGGCATAGGGGCCCACAAACTCTCCCTATAAATAATCAGAGAGTAAATATTTTAAGCTTTGTGGGCTATACAAACTGTCACAAATACTTGATCCTGTTGTTGTAATAGCAAAACACTATAAATGATAAAATATATAAATAAATGAGCCTGATTGTTTCTCAATGGAACTTTATTTATAAAAATAGGTAGTAGGCTGAATTTGGCCTGAAACTCATGGTTTCCCAATCCCTACTCTAATAAATAAAAGAGCAATGAAGTAAAACAGAATTAAAAAAAAAGAATAGATTGATCAATAAAATTCAAAAACAATATTTAACCATACTAGTAATCAAAGAAATGCAAAAAAAAGAAAAAAGAAAAAAGACAATGAAATTCTATTTTCTCTATAACATTAAGAATTAAATACCATGATACATGGCTAAAGGGAGGGAGAGGATATTGACATAAATTTCAGAAACTTTCTGAAGATCAATGCATGTTTGTTATATATTTTACATAACAATATATATATATATACACATAGGGGTGTGTGTGTGTGTGTATATCTATATATGGGAAGAGAGAGGGAGAGACTTAGAATTAGGAATTCTTACTAAAAAATGTATGTTTGATTTAAATTTTAAAATTTGAATTAGTTCAAAATTTATTCATAGATGAATCAGGAGCAAGACAATAATTCTGGGTGGCCATAATAATGGTTTATTTCATGATATAAATTTTCCTAGCCTCATCCTTTACCTAAAGAAGAAAAAGAGATAAGTGGAAAAATTGCTACAACCTCTCTATTGGTTCTAGGGTTTCTTAACGATAGCAACATGAGTTCCCTTTTTAGTCTCCTCTTTATGACCTTCATTCATCTCATGGATTGAGCAGCTTTCTGGAGAAATCATATAATGCAAAAGCTAGAAGCATGGACTTTCTAGCCATGGGATTTCTACCTTGTATGTGGGATCCTAATATCCCCATTTGTCCATGAGTTTAATAATCTTTGCATCTAAATATTTCCATAGTACCTTTGAACTGTAAGTAGAGTTATTACAAAGTTTTGTGGGTGTTAAAAAAATGAAGAATCCACTGAGAAATAAGAATTGTTTCCAAATCTTCCAATCAAATGTTATAAATAAATTGAGATGAGTTTATGAAGACTCTTACACCTGGTAAATCCTCTTTTATCTTTTTAAAGCTATCTTTTTTCTTTCCTGATCACAAAAGTAACATATGTCACCAACAAATGTGACAAAAAAGAATTAAAAAGGAACAATAATGCATGATGCTAGTACTTAGAGAGAACTACAGTTGGTATCATGAAGAATGTTCACCCATTTTTTTAGTATGTCTGTGTGTGTGTGTTTACCAAACTGGGATCTGTTAAACAAACTATTTTTTTATTTCCCTTAAAACAACATAAGCAATTTTAATGTACATTAAAAAAAATGAACTCCTTCATTTTTAACCACATTGCATTCCACTGGAAGTATGCGCCATAAATTATTTATGCAATCTTCTACGGGTAGACATTTAGGCTGCAAAACTATTTTCACTATTATACAATCTAACTTGGGCATTTCATTACATGTATTTAGGTGTGTATACCCTATGATTTCCCTTAGGATAAATTCCTAGAAACACAATTTTCTATGTTGAAGAGTGTCTAAATTTAATATTTTGCAGTACATTAACAAATTGCCTTTTAGAAAAGTTGTAACAATTTATTAATTTGTTCTTTTCCTAAATGTCTGGTATGAATACATTTAAATAAACCATGGTACTTCCACAGATGCAAATACTATGTTGCAAAATTAATAGTATGGAAAACTATGCATAGAACTATATCAAGTTAAATAGATACAAAAAAGCATACCAATTATATGCTGCTATATTACTATATAAATATATATATACATATATATGTATATATACATATATATAATAAAGAGGACACATGACAGTAGGAAGTGCCACAACTGAGGGAAAGGGTTAGAGTACATTTTAAAAATTTCTTTCATCTTCTTCTATATTTGTTAAAATTTTTAAAATTTGTACATATTTTACTTGTCATCTGAAAAACATTAAGAAAATATTGGCAAGTACAAAACCAAAAAAATAAGTCTTCACCTGGTATAAGACATAGTATTATAGATCAGAAATCCCTAAAATTTTATCTAATCTGTCTCTAATCCTAAATTTTCTCTAATCTTTCTGTCTAGCCATGCTGAACTGAAGTACATTTGCCCAACAAAGAACTTATTTTTAACTCACAAAAACTTTTCATGCCTAATCGCAAGCAGAATAAAATCTTTCACTTCTTCACTGAGAAAGCAAAGAACAGAGCTTTGAGGTCCCTGAAAACAGATTGGAAAACCTTTCTCTAGCTATAAGTCCCTGGCTGCAGGCACTTTGGAAAGCATTTTGCAGGGGAACAAAACATTAATAAATACTCAATACTTACAGTGACCTTTGAGCAATTCCAGATGTAGACATGGATATTTTTCCACAAATAATAAGAAAGGGCCTGCTATAAGAAGTGACAGTCCAGAGCAGGCTTGCATGAGGCTAGAATTACACAGGACACAGAAAAGAGATTCAGCAGAAATGAAACAGCAAAAAAAAAAAAAAAAAAAAAATACAGATCCTTGAACAAACATAACCAAAGATTTATTCCCTTTCAAAAGTTTTTATCATTCCTTATATTTCCTCCAGTGAGAAGAATATAAATGCCATTTTATATTTTCTGGATGTGATGATGGTTTTATCAATAGCTGGTCTTTATGATGCTCTTCATTCCCCATCTATCACTATGCTAAGTTTTTACACAGAGTAAATCATTTAATCCTCTCAAAACCCCAAATTGGTACAGATTATTAATATTATTCACATTTTATAATTAGGAGAGTAGGCTAAAGAAACTTAAATTGCTTGTCTAAGATCATCCTTTAGAACAGGGGTCAATAAACTTTTTCTTAAAGGA